ACCCATTCAGGACATAGGCATAGACAAGGACTTCATGTCGTAAAACCCAAAGCAACGCACCAAAAGCCCCAAAATTGACAAATGGATTCTTAAACTGCAAAGAGCCTTCTGGCACCAGCAAAAGAACACCATCAGGAGGTGACAGGCAACCTACAGATGCGAGAAATTTTTTTGCATCTAACTCATCTGACAAAGGGCTAATATCCAGACCCTATAAAGAACTCAATCAATTTACAAAGGAAAAAACAAAACAACCCCATCAAAAACGTGCAAAGGATAGACGAGACATTTCTCCAAAGAAGACAATTCATACAGGCAAAGACACATAAAAACATGGCTCATATCACTGGGCCATAGAGAAATGCAATCAAGGACACAATTGAGATACCATCTCACACCACGTTAGAATGGCGATCATTCAAAGTCAGGAAACACAGGTTGCTGGAGAGTAGATGTGGAGAATAGGAACACTGTTTACCACTGTTGGTGGATCTGTAAACTAGTTCACCATTGTGGGAAAACAGTGGTGCGCATTCCTCAAGGATCTAAGAACAAAGAATACCATCGACCCACAGCCATTTCCCCATTATTGGTTGGTATCCAAAGATCATCAAAGTCATGCTGCATAAAGGAAACCAGCATGGCACACGGTATGGTTTACTGTGGGCATATTCACAACAGCAAAGGACTTGGAACATCAACCCAAAGTGTCCATCAGTGACAGAGACGGATTAAAATGTGGACACTACACACCACGGAATTACTATGCACGCATAAAGAAAGGATGAGTTCGTGTCTTTTCGTATGGGACATTAGATTTGGTCTTTTCACATAATCCCATACTTCTTGGAGGCTTTGTTCATTTCTTTTTTTACTCTTTTTACTTTTTTTCTCTTTTTACTCTTTTTCCTCCACATTTCTCTTCTCGCTTCATTTCATTCATTTGATCTTCAATCGCTGATACTCTTTCTTCCAGTTGATCGAGTCAGTTACTGAAACTTGTGCATTTGTCACGTATTTCTCATGTTATGGTGTTCATCTCTATCAGTTCTTTTAATGTCTTCTCTGCCTTGATTATTCATCCATTCTTTTTTCAAGGTTTTTAGTTTCTTTGCACTGGTTACGTAGTTCCTCCTTTAGCTCTGAGAATTTTGATCGACTGAGGCCTTCTTCTCTCAACTCGTCAAAGTCATTCTCCGTCCAGCTTTGTTCCGTTGCTGGCAATGAGCTGCATTCCTTTGGAGGGGGAGATGCGCTCTGATTTTTTGAATTTCCAGCTTTTCTGCACTGCTTTTTCCCCATCTTTGTGGTTTTATCTGCCTTTGGTCTTTGATGATGGTGATGTACTGATGGGGTTTTGGTGTGGGTGTCCTTTCTGTTTGTTAGTTTTCCTTCTAACAGTCAGGAACCTCAGCTGTACATCTTGAGGTTCACTCTAGACCCTGTTTGCCTGGGTATCAGCAGCGGAGGCTGCAGAAGATAGAATATTGCTGCACAGTGAGTGTTGCTGTCTGATTCTTGCTCTGGAAGCTTCGTCTCAGGGGTGTACCCCACCGTGTGAGGTGTGAGGTGTGGATCTGCACCTAGTGGGGGATGTCTCTCAGTTAGGCTACTTAGGGGTCAGGGACCCACTTGAGCAGGCAGTCTGTCCTTTCTCAGATCTCACCCTCCGTGCTGGGAGATCCACTGCTCTCTTCAAAGCTATCAGACAGGGGCATTTACCTCTGCAGAAGTTTCTGTTGATTTTTGTTTAGCTATGCCCTGTCCCCAGAGGACGAGTCTACAGAGGCAGGCCAGCCTCTTTGAGCTGAGGTGGGCTCCACCCAATTCGAGCTTCCCGGTGGCTTTGTTTACCCACTTAAGCCTCAACAATGGCGGGCGCCCCTCCCCCAGCCTCGCAGCCACCTTGCTGTTAGATCTCAGACTTCTGTGCTAGCAATGAGGGAGGCTCCGTGGGTGTGGGACCCTCCTGGCCAGGTGTGGAGTAAAACCCTTGATGTGCCGTTTGCTAAGACCCTTGGTCAAGCGCAGTATTAGGGTGGGAGTTACCCGATTTTCCAGGTGTCATGTGTCTCAGTTTCCCTTGGCTAGGAAAAGGGATTCCCTTCCCACTTGCACTGCCCAGGTGAGGGGATGCCTCGCCCTGCTTCAGCTCTCCTGGTTGGGCTGCACTAGCTGACCAGCACCGATTGTCCATCACTCCCCAGTGAGATGAACCCGGTACCTCAGTTGAAAATGCAGAAATCACCCGTCTTCTGTGTCACTCACGCTGGGAGCTGGAGATTGGAGCTGTTGCTATTCAGCCATCTTCGGCGCGCCCCCTTGGAGCTTTATTTTTTAATGTAAAAACCAGCATTTCATAAATTTATTCTCATTGAAAATCATATACATTGCTTTTTAGAAAGTACTCACAAGTATAAAGCCACAGCAAACAAAAAAATCGAAGCCAGCACTGCTAGTAGATGATTGTAATTTTTTTCATTCTCTTTACATGGATATATACATCCCTCAGTTGAGATTATGTTGTTTATACAATGTAGCTGCCTTTTTGCTTTTGTTGTATCATGAATATCTTCCCTTGCCATTAAAAGCTTTTTTATAAACAGCATATTTTAAAGGCAGTAAATATAGCTAAGTGGGAAAGAGCATGCCTTGAGAGTTGACTCTGTGTTTGAATTTTTGCTCCACCACTTATTGGCTTTATGACTTTTATCTCAGTTATTTCATCTGTAAAATTGAGATAATATCACTTATTTGATAGGATAGTTATGATGATTATATGAAATAATTCAGTAAACCCCCTGTTATTTTATTTTGTGAGAGCACTATCATTTATGTAATCATTCTCCTAAGATTGGAAATAGTTTTTTTTTCAAATGCTTTGATATTGTAAGTAGAGTTATGATAGACATCTTTGGACATAAGTTTTATGTCTTCATGGTGAGTTTTTTTAAACTGAGCATTCTAAGTCAATGACTTTTCATTTCTTAATACTGTTGCCAGTAGTTCTTCAGAAAGGAGGTATGAATTTATTAATATATCCCACCTCATGTATATGGGAGAGTATAAACCTCAAGGTGCTCTTGCTAGTAACTTTTTGTATAGTTTGGTGAGAAAAATGATGGGATTTTTTGGGTTTTCAAAATTTTCCTACCCTTGTGAAGTTTTAGAAATGTGTTTAAGAATGCTTTATGTTTCTTCTAACGTAATTTTAGACTGAAGTCCATGGAAAGAGCCTGCATGTGCAGAGTGAAGTTTTAGCTCTTGGCTTGGGTGCTGTGTGTGTTTGTTTGATGGCAGCCATGGTAATATGACCCATGAGTGGTCATGTCACTTGTAAAGTCTGTGGTTCCCAGAGGAAAGAACAGTGGATTATTATTAATTATGGATTATTGACTGTTTAGTGTGTTCTTATAACTACTTTCATCTACTTTATTTTTGAATAAATATTTTCAAGTAGAAATGAAACATATTGATAATAAAAGCATGTCAAGAAGGAATATATAAATGCCTATTAAATGCTCAGGAACTTAAGCCCGTATATTCTTTTGTACAGGCCAAAGGAAAGAAACCTTTATTTGTACAGTTGATCCTGGAAAATATATGGAGTTTGTATGATGCTGTCTTGAAAAAGTAAGAGTCTTGTAACATTGTTTACCTTTAGGCATTTTTAGGCAGTATAATTTGTCTCACTTTCCAGTTTGATAAGTGGTACTTCAGAAAGCTGAGATGGACTGAGAAAGTGAACAGAGCTTCCACAGATGAGTTGATTACAGGGCTTGGAAGCAATTTAAAGAAGTCTATGTAACCCAGCTAAAGGGTGATATTGGAGGGACAGGACAGCAATATTTTATAGAGTGCTGAGGTGAAGAGATAAAAGGATAGAAAGAAACATTGGACCTTCGTGCATGCAAACCCAGGTTTAAAAAATAGTTATTAAAGTAGAAAAGGTGCTTGATAGCTAGGATCATTAATGGGGAAGTTGGGAAATAACTTTTCTGGTATAAGTTTGCTTTAGTGTATTCATTTTCTAAGTTATTGCTGAAGTGGAATAATGACTTGTTAGCACTTATTTGTAAGACTGCTTTACCACTTGATATAGTCTGCTTGAGGAGGTTGGGGAGAAGTACTTCCTGGGAAGTCTTAAAGAAGGATTCACTGGAAAGTGTAAGAGTAGAGGTTGAGGAGGCTTTTTCTGTGGCAGGATTCCCTTCAGTCATTTTTAGCTTTTTTTTGAAAAAGTAACACATTAGGGTAAAAATATGCCAAATAATGTTGGGTTCCTTTTCCCCACTGCCTGTTTATATGTGCATATGACATTTTCACCCTCCAATCTCGTGTTTACTATAGGGACAAAGACAAAATTGATAAAATAGTGACTTCTTTAGGATTAAAAATTGGAGCCCGGGAGACACGACATTCAGACCCTAAAGTTCAGATCAATGCCATTTGCAGTCAGTGGCTACCCATATCCCATGCTGTTCTTGGTATTGTTTATTCTACAGGTTTTTAATGAAATAGTTTTGATAAAGCAAGAAGAAACAATGCGTTATGGCAACCAGGAAATTCTCTGGAAATAACATTCAATCCAAAATAAGTCTTCTCTGCTTATTTAGTGTTCTACCGTGAAACTGTGTTTGATACTTTAATAATTAATACACTAATACTAATTTGTTTTAACATTACTAATCAACTTCTTTAGAAAGACAATCCTTTTGTGTTTATTTAGTAATCTGTAAAAATAAAAATGTTTACACTAAGATTTAAATATAAGTAGATGATTTAGATGTTTGTGTTAGATAACTGTTTCAAGGTCACCAGTAGCCAACCTGCTAAGCTCTGTTCTCATTTGTTCCATGGGCTTCAGTGTTAAAGTATCTGTCATGAGGATACTTTTTGGCCTTTTAGGAGTTTGTGAACTCCCTGAAATTGTGTGCATGTTTTGAGATGTGATGCATAAAGCAGTGTTGCCATATAACTGTATGCATTTTCTGTATGGACAGACTTTGTTACCTCAATATTTAGAGCATACAGTGAATCTTCGCCTTGGTGGGAGGCACTGGCTCAAGGTTTTGAGTCCTTAACAACAGACTTCAGCGATGGTGTGTCAGAAACTTCCTAGTCCCCTTGATATTACAGCCGAGAGAGTGGAGAGACTGATGTGTACAGGATCACAAACTTTTGACTCTCTTCCACCAGAAACTCAAGCACTGAAAGCAGGTAAGGAAAGATGGACCTGTTGGAATATACCATGTCATTGACTGTCCTCCATCCAGGCTGCTCTAGGCCAATTTGCTGAATGTTAGTTTGCTAAATGGCCAATTTGCCAAATGTCCACTTCCACAGATGAACAGTTTCACAAATGACTATTTCACCAGTTTTGCCTCCCACCCCCACCCCAAAGGTTTTCTTGTTACAGCTATTTTGCTCAACCAATAGGATGAGAGACCAGCAACTTCCTGTACACATGCTCCTCATGAGAAAAGAAGCTCCCATTCTGGACTTTGTAGGTTCCATGAAATTTGTCTCTACGAATTTTCTTTTCTCTAATTCTTTTCCTCCAGTTCTATTGCTTTTGTAACCGTGCCCCCAAACCACTACACTGTTGTTCTTGGCATCACTTCGACTTTTGGTTCGTTAAATCTAATGGCCAGTTTTCAGTCTTCATAGGACTAGGTCTGTCACTAGCATTTGACACAGGTGATCACTCCTCCTCCTTGAAGCACTTTCTTCCCTTGACTTCTAGGCTTCCATTGCTTCCATTCCCTTGCTTCTGCTTTTCTTTGTGTCTCCCTGGCTGCTTATCCTTAATAATCTCTTTTTGTGATTCCTCCCCATCTCCCTGGCTTTTTAACTTTGGGGTGCCCCAAGTAAGGTTCAAGTCTTTGATCCTCATCTATTTTACCTGCCGTCCCTCTTCTGATAATCTTATCCAATCTCAAGACTTTAAATGACAACTACATACTCATAATTCACACAATTGTGTATCTTCAGAGCATGTCTGTTTTCTGGACTCTGGACTGATATCTAGAACTCCCTCTACACTGTGTTGTCTAAGAAGCATCTCAACTGAACATATCCCAAACTGGGCTTTTTATCTTATCCCCAAGTCTGCTCACCTAGTCATTCCCATCTCAGTTAGGGGCACCTCAATCTTTTCATTTACTCAGTCCAAAAACCTTGGAGTCATCTATGGCCCTTGTATTTATCTCATGCTCCAACATCCAGTCCATCAGCAAATCCTGTTTATTCTTCCTTTTAAATACAGAATTCAACTATTTCCCAATGTTTTCACTTCTGCCTCCCTGAGCCAAGAAACCACCATCTCTCACCTGGTTATTTTAATTGTTTAACAACTAGTATCCTGGCCGGGCCGGGCACAGTGGCCCACGTCTGTAATCCCAGCACTTTGGGAGGCTGAGGCGGGTTGATCATGAGGTCAAGAGCTCGAGACCATCCTGGCCAACATGATGAAACCCCGTCTCTACTAAAAATACAAAAATTAGCTGGGTGTGGTGGTACGTGCTTGTAGTCCCAGCTACTCAGGGGGCTGAGGCAGGAGAATTGCTTGAACCTGGGAGGGGGAGGTTGCAGTGAGCTGAGATCATGCCACTGCACTCCAGCCTGGGTGACAGAGTGAGATTCCGACTCAAAAAATAAACAAACAAACAGCAACAACAACGACAAAAAAACAACTAGTATCCCTGCTTCTTGATTCCGGTTAGTGCTTTCTCAATATTGTAGACAAAACAGAGTGAGCCTCTTAAGATATAAGTCAGGGCATGTCATTCTGTTCCTCATTTAAAGCTTCCACTGGCAAGACTTCTGATACATGTTTCGTTCTTACTTCCTGTGGCTTTCTTTTTTCTTCTTTAAATTTTACTATTGAATTCTTTGTATACAAATTATTATAATATGAGGTGATGGAGTTGTTTTAAAAAAATTCATTAATCAATGTTTTTTTACCTCCAATACGGGTTAAGGAAAATGTTCATATGTTAATATGAAATTGTGTTAAAATTTATGTGTTTAGGGATAACTGGCATTTTAATACTATTGAATCCTAATTTATTTCTAAGAATTTGTTAATACCATAATACAGTATTGTTGTCCATTTTATTTTCTAACTTGTTATTGTGGGAGATTGGAAAAGCTATTGATTTTTATATATCTTATTAACAAGCTACCTTGTTGATTGTTGGCCTTTGGTAACATTCCTCAATTCTATATTTTCTGTACTTGACAGTGAAAAATGTATGAGTGCTTATAATAGGTGGTTAACCTCATTGCATAGCTTTAGCTTTCATATGAGATCCCTCACCCTGTCAAATTTGTTTGCTTTTCTTTCCTTATTTCTGTCAACTCTGTTTGACCTTGCTCTGCTATTCTTTCCTGGCAATCTTACCCTTTTCTAATTAAAATTTTTATAATAGTTGGAAAAAGTTGTGGACTTCTGATATATTTAGATGATGCCATGTTCTAAACATTTTGTTTTCCAGAAAATCTATTCTTTTAATAATGGAAAAATAGTGACATTTTTACTTCCTATTTGTTTAGCTTTTATGAAATGTGGAAGTGAGGACACTGCTCCAGGTATCATATTTGTTTCCAAAACGTTGGCAGTTGATGCTAAGGCCTTGCCTCAGAATAAGCCAAGGAAAGGGAAGTGGGAAAGTTGGGCTGGGCTAGGAATATGGTATTTAGTGGGATGTCGTTGGGCTGTGGGTAGCGGGGGCACGGATAATGCTTTTCCTCCTCAACACAGAATTCATATGAAGCCAACCCTCAGGGTAACATACAATATGTACAGTAATGTATCCTTTTGTGATACCTCTGTAGGAGAAAGCTGTTGAAAGCAGCTCTGAGATATTGAATTGAAGTGATGTAAGTTTGAAGAATAGTGCTAGTAGTAGTAGCAACAGTTAACTTTTGTTGAACATGTCAGGTGAGTTCTAATCTAAGCCTGCCTTGTCTCATCTAATTCTGTCTACCTCAGTAGAGATTATGAATGTATGAGTATCTCTGCTTCCCTGTGTGTCTTATGTGTACCCGGGTGTGGTGGGTGTAGGAGAGGGATATTTCTCAAGTTCCAGAGTCTTGGGGAATCTGTCTATCTACATTTCCTGTTTTATATGTGAGTTCCCCTCCTTCTGTCTCTGCTGCTTGCCCCACTAGTTTAGATTCTGATCATCTCTTGTGGATATTGTTGCAGCAACTTCCTAGCTGGTTCTCCTGCCCCATCTTTAGTTCCACTGATCCACATGCCATTCTTCCTTTAGAGTGATCTTTATAAGGCTCAGCTATGAAGATATGTCTCTTGTTCAAAAACCCTTAACGATTCTCACTGCCTTGAGCAGTTTTGATTCAAGTGTGAAGTGTTGGCGATGATCTCAGTGGTACACAGGGAAACAAGTTTTAACTTACTTGGTTGGATTATGTATTTGACCAGCGAGAGCTGAAGCAGGGCACGGGTTCGCTCACCTGGGAAGCAAGAGAAGGGCAATCCGCGTTTCTACAGCCAGGGGACCTGGCACACTGGATCGGGTACTCACCCCCAGCGCTTTAAAGCAAACGGGCACACCCAGAATTGTATGCCACACCTGGCCGGGAGGGTCCCACCGCCCACGGAGCCTCCCTCATTGCTAGACGCAGTCGCGATCTACCGGCAAGGCAGCAGCAGAGGCTGGGTCAGGGGCGCCCGCCATTGCGAGCTTACAGTAGGTAAACAAAGCCGCTGGCGAAGCTCGAACTGGGTGGAGTCACAGCAGCTCAAGGAAACCTGCCTGTCTCTGTAGACTCCACCTCTGGACGGCGCACAACTAAACAAAACAAAAGCAGCACAGGAACCTCATGCCAGATGCCCACACTCTGTCTGACAGCTTTGAAGAGAGCAGTGGACTCTCCCAACACGGAGGTTGAAATCTCTGAGAAGGACAGACTGCCTGTTCCAGTGGTCCCTGACACCTGAGTAGCCTTAAACGGGAGACATCCCCCACTAGGGCAGTCTGACACCACACTCACACGGTGGAGTACCTGAAGAGGAGTTCAAGCAAATCAGGGTCTGCTGTTCGCAATATCTTATCTATTGCAGACTCTGCTGCAGGGGGGGGGGGGGGGGGGGGGGGGGGGGGGGATACACTCAGGCCAAACAGTCTGGAGTGGACTCAAGCATCCCAACAGCTTCATCTGCGTTGCGGAAACTAACAAACGAAAAGCTACACCAAACCCAATCATACTCACCATCATCAAAGACCAGAGGCAGATAAACACAAGATGGGAAAAAGCACGAGCAGCTGGTTAACAACAAAGGCACAGCTCCCGGCAAAGAGTGCAGCTCATCGCCAGCACGGATCAAAGCTTGACGGAAGAATGACTTTGATGACGCTGAGGAAACCTCAGTCCCATCAAACTTCTCGAGCTAAAGGAGGATTACACGTACCAGTGCAAAGAACACTAAAAATCTTGAAAAAAGTGGAAGATGATGGCCAGCAGTTTTCGCGAGATCATAACCCGAATCCAGGGAATCAACCATGACAAGAATCATGTGGTTCGTGCGACTCGATCAACTCGGAAAAAGGAGTATCAGCGCGATTCAGGGATCAAATGAATAAACACATGAGCCAGAAGAGAAACCTAAAGAAACAAAAAGAAACAAGAAATGAAACAACGCGTGCAGAAATATGGGTTTTAAACAAGACCAATCTGTTGATTGGGTGCTGCTGCGGGGCTGGACCAAGTATGCCTCTCAGGTATTCCGCGAACTTCCCCAACCTAGTAGGCAGGCCAACATTCAAATCCAGGAAACACAGAGAACGCCACAAAGAGATACTCCCTCACGAAAGAGCCAACTCCAAGAACATTAACTTGTCCAGATTCCACCAAAAGCTTGAAATGCAGGAAAAAATCTTAAGGGCAGCGCCAGAAGACAAGTCGGGTACACACAAAGGGAAACCCATCAAGACTAAACAGCGATCTCTCAGCCAGAAACTTCCCAGAGAGTAGGGGGGCCAATATTCAACATTCTTAAAGAAAAGAATTTTACCCAGAATTTCATATCCACCACTAATTCAAGTGAAGGAGACAATAAAATCTTTACAGATAAGAACTGCTTAGAGAATTTTGTCACCACCAGCCCTGCCTTACAAGAGACCCTGAGGAAGCCACTAACATGGAAAGGCAAACACTGGGTCACAGCCCATTGCAAAACATGCCAAAAATGT